CGGAAATATTGAAAAATGAGCTCGGGGTAAAGCAATTGAAATTCCAAAAAGTGCAAGAACTTACACCGCAACAGAAAGAAAATAGACTCAAAAGAGCTAAAGAGTTGCTTCGCTTGGCCGAAAGTGGTAAACTGCCGAATTTGGTTTTCTCCGATGAGAAAACATTCGTTGTCCAGCAGTTTGTAAACAAACAAAATGATCGTGTTTACTTGCCAAAGAGGTCAGCTGAAAATGTGCACTTCGGTTTGCCACCAGCCGATGGTCGCTCTTAGCTCGTATTAATCAACCGTGGCATCAGAAAAAATGCCGAATATTATCGCGAAAATATTCTGGAGGGTGTATTAAAGGCTTGGGCAAGCAAACATTTTGGCCGCAAACCTTGGACATTCCAACAGGACTCAGCACTCGCCACCCAAGAATAGTTAAAAAATGAGGTTCCTCGCTTCATTTCCAGCGCATAATGACCACCAAAATCTTCAGATACCAATCGGTTGGACTATTATGTCTGGAGTATTTTGGAAAGCAAGGTTGGCACTAAAAAATACCAAGGTGTCGATCACCTTAAGCAAGCGCTTCGCCGGGAATGGGCCAAAGTACCGCAGAGCATCATTCGGGCAGCGTGTGACGGTTTCATTGGCCTTTTGAAGGCCATAACTTGTGCCAAAGGTGACCAATTCGAAAAAATCTAAAGTTACTCTAAAATTTGATGCTTTTCCGACATTTTTTGCTTTCAGTCAATAAAATTAAAAAAAAAAAACGTAAAACTTATTTTTTCATCTCACCCTGTATATAAGTCCCACAATAAGTTCATACTATCCTTTGTTAAACGTTGCTTCTCTGTGAAAAGTTTTTAGGCTACACAACAAACTGAACTGACTCATCCCTCACCATCCACCCTTCCCCCCATCCCCTCCCACCATACAACATTTTGTGTTCACGCGTCCATCTCTCATATCTCGTTCTCTCTCCTAGTAAGCAAATAAGGACACAAGTTCAGGCATACGTTCAGACGTGTGCGTCCGTAAGCAATTAAGCGTTTTTACCTTTGTCTTTTTTTGCCCGAATCCATTTTAATATAACATATCAGTATCTCTTGGGGATTAGTAATTTAATATACGACTTAGTGGTCTTTGGACATAAATGCTAGCGAAAGAAAAATCCACTGCCGCTGTCGATGCATTGCTGGAGAATTTAAGCTTGATTTATGGAGATGAGAAGTTGCATGGTTTTATTGGTCCACATCATGAAGTGGTGTTGCAGGGTAAAAAGACATACGTTAGGGATTAAAATTTACATTCAAGTTCTGAGTTTTACATTTGGAGGTCTCCATTTAAGAAACACTTTTGAGGGATATTTGAATTCCCAATAGTGACTTTTAAAGAAAAGTTTTCCCGCGTGACTGAATACGGACTATGTAAAGAAAGATATTCCTAGGTTTTGTGACAAGTCAATTTTTTTTAAATATTTTTTTTTATATATTTTTCGAAGATCCGATCCTCGTAGTTGATTCAACGTGGATCTTTTAAGTATATCTTTTAAGTATATTTTTTCAAAGTTCCATCAGATTTTGGATCTTATAAAATCTGCAACCTATCAAGGACTTGGGAAGACTCCTTTCAGGTTCGATTTAGTTCGAAGACTTTTCTCCAAGGACTAGTAAATCATAATTGGTAACACTTCTATTTAAAACAAAAATCCAAAGAGATTGAATTTCTTCTTTTTGACACCAGGGAGATTTTCTTAAATAAACTTATCGAAAGGTAATTAGATCCTTTTTAAAAATGAAGGTGGGGTTTAAAGACAAGAACCATTGGAGCCTCCTTGGTACCTAAAGAAACAATTTTGAAAACCTATTTGAGGCTCTGTGGTGACTCATTGTGGATTTTATTAACATTTTGATTATTCAAAACTTTGAATCTTTTTAGGGGAGCTACCAGAAGGAAAGGACCGATATATTCCATCTTAACACCACACATTGGGTTAATAAAAATATTGGGATGTGTGACATTTGAAGACAATCGGACTCTTACATCACAAGGAGGGAGATACTTGATGGAGTCGACCGATATTATCCATTTTTCCACCTGACTTAGAATTGACGCAAATATTAGGATTTGCAAAATCGAAGTAAAATCGGATTATTGCTTCCATTTCTGTGTAGAAAATATTTTTCTTGAAAATTTCGGCCTTTTATGGGGGAGGTACCAGAAAAAATGGATTTATATATTCCGTCATCACTCCAGACTTTGGGTTAATAAAGATATTGGGATATGTGAAATTTGAAGACAGTCGGACTCTTACATCACATTTTATGAGAGTTGTAATTATTCAAAATTTTGAGCCTTTGTGTGGGAGGTACGATATTACACATTTTTGCACCCGACCTAGAATTTACACAAATATTAGTATTTCGGTGCAGAAAATATTTTTCTTGAAAATTTCGACTTTTTGTGGGGGAGATACCAGAAGGAGTGGACCGATATTGCCCATCTCCGAAAATGATCTAAGTTTGACAATAATATTACGATGTACCAAGTTTGGACTAATTCGGATGCTCCCTTCGAGAGTTATCGTGCGCACCAGCCAGACAGGCAGACGGATGGACAGACGGACGAACATCGCTAGATCGACTCCAAATGTCCTGAAACGGATTTGGTCCAAAGAAACCTAGGGTCTAAAACAGCTATTTCGATGAGACACGTTTTGGCCGTATCACATGATATACATATACCCTCTCTAGCCCTAGGACTGAGGGTATAAAAATCAACCAAAAACTTTTAACAAAAAGTGTTGGGCGCCATTTTTTGTTAAAAGTTGGGGCTAGGAATTCAGCAAGATATTTTGTCCATGGTATTCCAAATTCGAGATTGAAAATATAGGAAGGAGCCCTTTAACTAGACTCATAACAACATATTGCAATGGCGCCCAACGTGGGGTTAACTTATGGAGAATAAGATATCATTGGAAATCAAAATTTAAAGACAAAAAAATGAATACTTAATGGCGCCCAAATTGGGAACTCTGCTATATTTTTGGTCACAGAGAACACTAAAGCTTTGGTATTCCAAATTTGAGGTTGAGAAATTAGTTGGGGGTGGGTATTTTTTAAGCTATGCTTCTTCAAATAGAATCATAACAATGTATTGGTAAATGGCGCCCAACGTGGGATTGTTTCTACTGTCAGTTCTTTGTTGGTGATAAAATTTTGGATTCGGCAATATTTTAGATCAGAGAGGATACTCAATGCGTTGGTATTCAAAATTCGAGGTTGAAAAAAAAATTTAAGGGGTCCTTTAACTAGAATCTTGATCCTTTGACTAGATTCGTAAAAACGTATTTGTAAATGGCGCCCAACGTGGTGTTGGTCAGTTCTTTATTGGTGATTATCTATAAAGAATAAGAAATCATTGGAAATCAGACTTAAGGTTAAAACAAGTAAAAAAGTTGTAAGTTCGGCCGGGACGAACTTTGAATACCCTCAACCATTCCGTTAAAAATTCTGTTAAAATTTTAAAAATACCGAATGTTGCTGTTATATTAGGGTATATACGATGACATGGACCTGCATAGGTAACTTTTGTCATAAGCCATTACAATATTAAAATGCGAAATTTAAAAAAATAGGTGAATAATGTAGCTAATATCATCAAAATACAGAATATCGGGAGTTACAATTATATTGGACCTGCTCAGACAATTTTCTTAGGCTGTAGTATTTATTACGAACTTCAAATACCAAATTTGAAACAATTCCGGTGAATAATGTCGCTAAAATCACCAAAATACCGAATATCGGGAGGTACCTATACGAATAGGTGGACCTGCACAGACAATCTCTTGCCATAGGCTGTAGCATCCATTACGAACATCAAATACTAAATTTGAATTCCGATGAATATTGTCGCTGAAATAATCAAAATACCGAATATCGGGATGTACCGTTATATGGAGACTATGTCAAAACGTGAACCTACATGGCCCATTTTCAATACCAAAAGTCCTGCGGACATAATATACATTTGAGTAAAATTTTATCAATCTACTTCAATTCGTTCGGAAGCTAGAGTGATTTCCCCAGACGTACAGAGGGATAGACGGACGGACATCGCTAAATCGACATACAATTTTATGCTGATCAAGAATATATATACTTTGTGGGGTCTAAAATGCATATTTTGAGGTGTTACAAACGGAATGATAACTTAATATACCCTCCATACTATGGTGGAGGGTATAAAAATAATGACTTAAAATCTGCAAAGAAAACCATTTAAAAACTAACGGCGCCCAAATTGGGGATTCAGCTACATTTTTGGTCACAAGCATTGATACTCCAAATTCAAGGCTGAAAAAGTAGGTGAGGGCCTTTTAACTAGAATCACCGTCCATTGACGAGAATCATAGTAACATATATCAATGGCGACCAACGTGAGCTTGGTTTCTACTGTCAGTTCTTTATTCGCGATTATCTATGGGAAATGAGAAATAACTGGAAATCAGGATTTAAGGTGAAAAAACCTTTAACAAGTGTTGGCGCCCAAATTGGGGATTCAGCAACTTTTTTGGTCACAGAGTATACTAAAACGTTGTTATTCCAAATTCGAGGTTGAAAAAATAGGCAGAGGCCCCTTAACCAGAATCTTGGCTCTTTGACTATAATCATAACAATGTATTTGTAAATGGTGCCCGCAATTTCTCTGCTCGCACATATTAAGGTAATATTTGTCGGCTTGTTAACTGTTTGTTCCACTTCTATCGACTGGAGGCTTCGGCGGTGAATGGGACTGGTCCAGCTGATCTGACTCGAGAATTTTTCACCTTTCCTGTAGAGCTTCAGCATGGATAGGAGGTTTGGCCAAATATATGAATAGATGAATTATTATTATTTTTTATTTTATTTATTGCCTCGAGATGTTACTTACGCGATAATTAATCCACTTCTGTCATCTCTTTATCCTTGAAAATAGAGAAACAAATATCAGTCTAATAAATAATTAATTGTTTATTTTAATTCTATATACACATAATTTTATTTAGAAACACTGGAAGACATAGAAGTGACCTCAGCAACGAAATGTCGTTGCTTCTTCCTCTTCTTCTCGATTTTCCTAGCCCCTGCGTAGGACAATGAAAAATCGGTCATCCTCTGGATCATCGAACACATTTCTATGGTAGACTATACTTTTTATGGTCGATTCAAAATTTCTTCGTAAATCATCACATTCTGAAATTAAGAGTATCACATATTAAGATAATCATCTGCATCATCTTTTGTTGGTTTGAAATCATGAAATGAACGAAGATGAATATTGACAAAATATGCCGTGCGAAGTGAAATTTTTGGTACATTCGCAATAAATGTTTTTTCATATATTTCTTCCAAAGTCATTCTAAGCGAATTTTCGGAATTTTCAGTTTGCGTTCTTTTTAAAAGAATATTTTCCATGGACTTCTATCTTCTTTTTGCAATTAAAGCTCTTTCCAGGGACATCAGATTATCAATGTGGATTTCATAAAAAAAGTCCCTCCCTACGTGATTTTTATAAGTAAATTTATTTCCAAGGACTGTTAGATTATCAACGCGAATTTTATAAAAGACATTTTTTATAAGGAATAACCTCGACTTGGAAATATGAAATTAAAAAAATTGACAAACCTTCGAAACCCCTCGATTCTAGTAAATATTTAAACCTCAATGTTAAAAGTGCATGAAAGTAACACACAGTTTCGCTTTAGGCTGAAAGCGTTGCAGTGGCCGAAAAATGGCGCGTGAGCTGAACGTATCGCAATATTCCATTCGGCAGATATTGAAAAATGAGCTAGGGGTAAAGCCACTGAAATTCCAAAAAGTGCAAGAACTTACACCCATACAGAAAGAAAATAGACTCAAAAGAGCTAAAGAGTTGCTTCGCTTGGCCGAAAGTGGTGAACTGCCGAATTTGGTGTTCTCCGTCTCCGATGAGAAAACATTCGTTGTCCAGCAGTTTGTAAGCAAACAAAATGATCGTGTTTACTTGCCAAAGAGGTCAGCTGAAAATGTACACTTTCGGTTGGCCACCAGAACTCAAGCGCCGGCCATGGTGATGGTGTGGGCCGCCATACCAGCCGATGGTCGCTCTCCACTCGTATTAATCGACCGTGGCATCAGAAAAAATACCGAATATTATCGCGAAAATATTCTGGACATTCCAACAGGACTCAGTACCAAAATGAGATTCCACGCTTCATTTCCAGCGCACAATGGCCACCAAAATCTCTGGATTCCAATCCATTGGGCTATTGTGTCTGGAGTATTTTGGAAATCAAGGTTGGCATTAAAAAATACCAAAGTGTCGATCACCTCAAGCAAGCGCTTCGCAGGGAATGGGCGAAAATACCGCAGATCAACATTCGGGCAGCGTGCGATGATTTCATTGGCCGTTTGAAGACCATAATTCGTGCCAAAAGTGACCAATTCGAACAAATCTAAACTTATTCAAAATTTTATGCTATTTCCGACATTTTTTGCTTTCATTCAATAAAATTTTATAAAAAAATGTAAAAATTATGGCGTTTGCCTTTGTGGCACTTTATTTATCTCACCCTTCACAACAGATCTTGTGTTAGCAAACAAGTTTGTGTGTGGGAAATTTGAAGAGAACCGGATGCTTGTTTGATATTGTGTAATCGTTTTGATTTTTCAAAAGTTTGACCCTTTGTGGGGAGGTACCAGAAGCAATGGTCCGATCTCTATAGTCTTTATAATAGATCTTGTGTTGATGGAGATTTTGAGATGGGCCAAGTCTGCAAGGAATCGGATGTTAATTTCGTGTTTAATGAGCTTCATGAATATTCAAAATATTGACCCTTTATGAGGCAGCTACCCGAAGGAGTGGATTGATATATTCCATCTTCACACCACACCGTGTTTTAATACAAAATACTGTGATGTGTGTAATATGAAGAAAATCGGACTCTTATATCACTTATTATAACAGTTATTAATATTCAAAATTTTGACCCTTAGTGGGGGAGGTACCAAAAGGAGTGGTCTGATATATTCCATCTTCACAACAGATATGGTATTGGTAGAAATAATGGGGTACGTGAAATATAAGTCGAACCTGATGTGTATTTCGATTTATAAACGTTTTGGTTATTCAAAATTTTGACCCTTTGTGAGGGAGGTACCAGAAGGAATTGTCCGATCGGCGCCATCTTTATGTCAGATCTTGTGTTTATGGAAATATTCAGATGTGCTAAGTCTAAATGGAATCGGATGTTAGATTCGCGTTTTATGAGAATAATGGATTTTCACAATTTCGACATTTTGTGGGGGAGGTACCAGAAGGAGTGGACCGATGTATTCTACCTTTACACCAGAACTTGGGTTAATAAAATTATTGAGATGTGTAATATGAAGACAATCGGACTCTGTCATCACATTTTATAAGAGTTGTAAATATTCAAAATTTTGACCCTTTGTGGGGGAGGTACTTCATGGAGTAGACCGATATTTTCCATTTTTGCACCTGGTTTAGAACTGACGCAAATATTAGGATTTGCAAAATTGGAGCAAAGTCGGATTATTGCTTCTCTTTCCTTGCATAAAAAATATTTTTTCTTTTTTAAAAATTTTGACCTTTTGTGGGGGTGGTGCCAGAAGGAGTGGGCCGATGTATTCCACCTTTACACCAGATCTTAGGTTAATAAAAATATTGCGATGTGTGTAATTTAAAGACAATCGATCTCTTACATCACTTTTTATAAGAGTTGTAATTATTGATGTAGTGAACCGATATTGTTCATTTTCGCACCTGACCTAGCACTGATGTAATTAGAATTTGCAAAGTTGGAGCAAAATCGGAGTATTCTCCGGTACTTTATCTTTCTGTGTAATAAAATATTTTTTTGAAAATTTCGACCTCAGGTGGTGGAGGTTGGGGGAGTTGTTACCAGAAGGAGTGGATCGATATTGCCCATCTCCGAACTCAGTTTATGTTTGATAATATTATTACGACGTACCAAGTTTGGAACAAATCGAATACTCCATTAGAGAGTTTTCGTGAAGTTATCAGACAGACAGACGGACGGACATCGCAAGATTGATTAAAATGTCCTGAAACAGATTTGGTCGAAAAAAACCTAAGGTCTAAAACCGTTATTTCGATGAAGCACGTTTTGGCAGTATCAGATGATATATAGCATCTGTAGCCATCTGGCTGAGTTTATAAAAAAGGATCAAAAATACCCCTTTGGTGACTCGGTGGAGGGTTAACATTTTTATCAAAATAATTCTCGCATTGTTATCAATAATTGTGCCTAAGACACCATATCCATAAAACGTAAGGATTTCAGAAAATCTTAAATAGACAATTTTGAAAAATTTTGTGGAGGGGCGAACTTGCCTTCTGTATTTGGGTCAATGAAAATTCTCAGTACGCCGATACAGGAGTCTCCTATTTTTAGCCCTACTTTAAAAATCTACTGAGTTATTGCTGTAAATATTTTTTGTGTTGCACAGGGGAAAGGTGGAACTTGTACCTCCTATTTGAGTTACTTGGCAGTAAAAACTCTCAAAACACCGATAAAGGTATTTTTTATTTTTAGCCCCACTGATTTTTTGTGTTGCATAGTGTAATAATATTTTGTAGTTTTTTACTCTAAAGAAATCTTGAAAAAAAGATATTTCTATATAAAGTTGAGTTGTTCTGCAAGAATCTACTAGTTTCGCAATTCTTTCCGATATCATAAAGGAAAAAGTCGGATATCGTAGTAAACAATTTTTACATTCTTGCAGTTCTTGAAGAAAGTTATTGAAAATTATTTTTGGCCTTCCTATATCCGCCCGATCAAATCTTTGTTACCTTATCTGAAACATACTTCTCAATGGACTTTTATGAGAAAATGAATGATGCCAAATGAATTTCCTTCACTACTCACTTATTGTAAAACCGAATAGGAATAACCTCTTCAGTGACTTGGGAAATTTTGCATGATTTATTAAAGACCTGAGCGAATCTTCGGTATCGGGATATGGTGATATGGCCATGGTCATTTTGGTGTTATGACGAAATAGATCTAACCAAAAATCTAAATCGGTTGCGAAACGTTTGCTATAGAACAGCTTCAGATGGATGACATTTGTGAGGAGCTCCTCTTCCGCCGAGGGGAGGGGACAATTGAATTGCATGTCTTCGATGCGCAACGTTAGATGCTGCAAAGCCGGCAAACGAAGGAGTTGCAAAATGTATGAGGTCTGGAAGGGTTGTACTAGCCAGGTATCTAATGATTGTAATTGGGTCATTTGTTGCAGCGATTCCATGGTGACTTGACAACATTTCATTTGTAGAGTTGTCAGGTTCGGTGGTACTCCCCTGGCCATGTGAAAGAGATTGCTGTTATCTCGGTTGCTGGGTATCCAGGCCAAGTGTTGCAGATTCTCATTGTGGGCATAGGCAAGATAAAATTCCTGCATTGGTACTCCACCCAAAGCCAGCTTTTGAATCGTCCCTGAAATGGTGAAATTTTCAAAATCTCCTTTATATGTTGTCCCAATGGAAATGTATTCCCTGAGATGGGGACAGGTGAGAATTTCCTTTAAATTGCCATAACTCAGGCCATAACAAAATTCAATGTTCAGTTTTTCCAAATGATCAGGTAGCCTCAGTGCGCTGATGTCAAAGAACGTGCTACGCTGTATGGTTAGAGATTCCAGGTTGGGACATGCCTGACAAATGGTATTTAGAATCTCCTCAGTTATGCCATCAATCATGCGCAAATTCAGACTCTTTAGGTTTTGGAATATTGCCATGAACTTGTCATAGTTCTTGGACCATTTGTTGCGATCCAGAGTGGTGGTGATTTTCAGCGATTTCAATTGCAAAGGATAGATGGCTGTGGGCGGGGGCTGGGGAATATAATCGGCTGGATTTTCAGGTTCCACAACAAAACTCAGCTCCAACACTTCCATGGGTAGCTGGTAAATCAGACGAAAGAAGTCATCACAGCCAATGCGAATGATGGGAAAGTCACAGCGATAGTCCAAAGAGATGCGTTTCAGGTGTTTCATGCGCAACAAACTCTCCACAAATTCCACCGAAACGAAACCATCCGTTATGGCGCCAAACATGTGTATCACCATGTAGGGTGTAAAATACACCTTGTGATCCTGATTGTACGAGAGCAAATAGATGTTCTCCAAGCCCGGTATATTATTGGCCACCGATTGCAGCAATTCCAGCCAACACAGGTCCACACAACACTTGAGGGTGGTGAGATTCTTAAATTGCTTCAGATCCCAGTGCGAGTATGACGTCAACTCATGCACCTGTTGCGAATAGAAGTTGAGAAACTCAATGAACACATCGGCCGTCATCAGAAGACCATTCGCAATGGTCTCATTTGTGACCACATAGTTGGGAAAGATTTCGGCCACTGTTAACTTTTCATATTTCACTGGCCATATGAAACGTTCGAAAACGCAGCGCAGTCCCTCGCTGACCCGGGCCAGTCGCAGTTGATCTTTGAACGTCAATAATTTGTAAATATAGATTTGTATTTCACAATTGTTTGCTATGCTCTCGAATCCATTCATTTTTCTCTAAGTTTCCACTTTCTATAACTATTATTATATAATTGGAAATAAATTATGTCCGTTTGTTTATGCCCGAAACGAACCGAGGAAAACAAAACAAAACCACAAAAAAATGCACCATAAACAAATAATGGGACGTGTGCACCCGTTCTAGTCGTAAATTCTACTGTCACTTATTTTTCTCAATGTGCTCTTGTTAGATATGTCATAGATAGACCTCGGAATATGCAGTTGAATACAAAAGGTGGTCCTCCATACTTTACAACCTACGTCGTACTGAAACTTGGGACTGAAATATTTTCGTTTTTTAAAGGTCGAAACCAATCAACCAGCCAACTCACACCGGCTTGAACTCAGATCATGTAAGAATTTAAAAGTAGAACAGACGTAGAACATTTTCGCCTCTTCACAAAAACTAAAAGGTGATATTTTAGCCTTAATACACTTAGCAGCACTGGCTTAAACAGCTTCCTGCACGTTTCCTGTTTTGTTTTACTATCAAACAAGATCAGTTCGATCTACAATTTAACCATGAATCGTACAGCAAGGTCATTCTGAGTCATGTGGCTACAGAGGGATATATACAGGGGAGATAAAAAAACTGCAATAAAGTCAAACGTCACAATTTTTAATTTTTTTGTTTTAAATTTTATTGGATGAAAGCAAAAAATGTCGGAAATAGCATCAAATTTTAGAATACGTTTGCTCGAATTAATCAGCTTTGACACGAATTATGACCTTCAAACAGCCAATGACACCGTCACACGCTGCCCAAATGTTGCTCTGCGGTATTTTGGCCCACTCTCGGCGAAGCGCTTGCTTGAGGTGATCCACACTTTGGTATTTTTTAGTGCCAACCTTGCTTTCCAAAATACTCCAGATACTATAGTCCAACGGATAGGTATCCGGGGATTTTGATGGCCATTGTGTGCTGGAAATGAAGCGAGGAACCTTATTTTGAAACCATTCTTGGGTGGTGCGTGCTGAGTGTGATGGTGCTGAGTCCTGTTGGAATGTCCAAGGTCTAAGGCCAACATGTTTGCGTGCCCAAGGCTTTAATATACCCTCCAGAATATTTTCGAAATAATATTTGGCATTTATTCTGATGCCACGACCGATTTATACGAAAGAAGAGTCACCATCGGATGTTATGGCGGCCCACACCATCTCCATGGCCGGCGCTTGAGTTTTAGTGGCCAACCGAAGGTGCACAGTTTCAGCTGACCTCTTTGGCAAGTAAACACGATCATTTTGTTCGTTTACAAACTGCTGGACAACGAATGTTTTCTCATCGGAGAAAACAAAATTCGGCAGTTCACCACTTTGGGCCAAGCGAAGCCACTCTGTAGCTTTTTTGAGTCTATTTTCTTTCTGTTGCGGTGTAAGTTCTTGCACTTTTTTGAATTTCAATGGATTTAGCCCGAGCTCATTTTTCAATATTTGCCGAATGGAATATTGCGATGTGTTCAGTTCACGAGCCATTTTTCGGTCACTGCGACGCGGGTTTCAATTAAGTCGCTTCTTTACTTTTCGAACCATTTCAGCTGATGTTGGTGTTTTCTTCCGTGCACTTCCTTGACGTCGGGCTACGCGACCAGTATCACGTAATCGGTAACGAGCGATAGTATGTGACACAAAAGATTTATTCACATTTAAATGCTAGAGTGCTCTAACGATAGCCACTTGTGGTTTTCCAGTCAAATATAAAGAAATCACACTATCACGCTTGAATTCCATCACGAATTATTTTTTTTTCTGGAAAATTCTTACCAAAATGCTTTTGTACGCTTGTAAACAATAATATGAGCTGTCACTGGAATAATTTTAACAGCTGTCGGATTAGTGGCTAAAAATTAAAGGAGTCTGAAGTAGGATGCAGTTTTTTCATCACAACCTGTATAATTTAGTACGGCCTCATCAAAATAACGATTGTATACCCAAGGTTTCTTTAGACCAAATCCGTTTCAGGACATTTGGAGTTGATCTAGCCATGTTCGGCAGTCTGTCTATCTGACTGGCTGGTGCGCATGATAACTTTAGAAGGGAGTATCCGATTTAGTACAAACTTGGTACATCGTAATATTATTATCAAGCTTAGACCGAGTTCGGATATGGACAATACCGGACCAGTCTATCTAGTACCTCCCCCACAAAAGATCGAAATTTAAAAAAACAAGTTAAAAAGTATCAGTCGGTATTGCCGCCAGAGATATACCCTCAGCCTATGTTCGATTATCTAAATATATTTTGACTAGTGTTAAGGTTATTCAAACGTTTGACCCTCTATGGAGCAGATCCCGAAGGAATGGGCCAAAAGATGATATAAATATTTCGACAGATGTGCCAAGTCTAAATGGAATCGGATGTTAATTTGGCGATTTATGAGCTTTATGGGTACTCAAAATTTCAATATTTTGTGGGGGAGGTACTTGATGGAGTGGACCGATATTGTCAATTTTCACACCTGTCCTAGCACTGACGCAAATATTAGGATTCGCAAAGTCGGAGCAAATTCGGATTAGCCTTTCTTTTTCTGTGCAAAAAATTTGTTTTTTTTTTTTTTTGAAAATTTCGACCTTTTGTGGGGGAGGTACCAGAAGGAGTGGGCCGATATTGTTCATCTTAACACAACACCTTGGGTTAATATAAATATTGGGATGTGTGAAATTTGAAGACAGTCGGATTCTTACATAACATTTTGTGAGAGTTATAATTATTCAAAATTTTGACCATTTGTGGGGGAGGTACTTGATGGAGAGGACCGATATTGCCCATTTTCACACCTGACCTAGCACTGACGCAAATATTAGGATTTGCAAAGTTGGAGCAAATTCGGATTATCCTTTCTCGTCCTGTGCAAAAAATATATTTTTTGAAAATTTCGACCTTTTGTGGGGGAGGTACCAGAAGGAGTGGACCGATATTGCCCATCTCCGAACTCGATCTAAGTTTGACAAAAATATTACGTTGTAGCCAATTTGGACCAAATCGGATACTCCCTTCGAGAGTTATCGTGCGCACCAGCCAGCCAGACAGACAGACAGACGGACGGACGGACGGACGGACGGACGGACGGATATCGCTAGATCGACTCCAAATGTTCTGAAACGGATTTGGTCCAAAGAGACCTAGGGTCTAAAACCGTTATTTCGACTAGGCACGTTTTGGCCGTATCAAATGATATATACCCTCTGTAGCCATATGGCTGAGGGTATAAATATATATATTTTATTTAAAGTTGGAGCCAAGTCGGATAGTCCGACTTGGCTCCAACTTTTTAAATCCTAATATATCCATCAGTCTGCATCAGTTGAACCCAAAAAGGGTCAAGATTTTGAATACTTGTAACTCTTCAAAAATGTGATGTAAGAGTCCGATTGTCTTCAAATTACACACATAATAATAATTTTATTAACTCAAGGTCTGGTGTGAAGATGGTATATATCAGTCCACTCCTTCTGGTACCTGTCCCACAAAGAGTCAACATTTCGAAATTAACATCCGATTTTATTCAGACGTAGTACATTTCAATATTTCCATCAACACAAGATCTGTTGTAACAAGTATAGAGATCGGATCATTCCTTCTGGTATCTTTCCCACAAAGTGGCCAATATTTTTAATAACTATGAAGCTCATAAAATGTGAAATAAGAATCCGATTCTCTTCAAATTCCACACATGCCAATCTTTCTTTCAACACATAATGTGGTCCACTCCTTTTGTTGCCTCCCCACCAAAAGGGATCAAAATTTTAAATAACTATGAAGTTCATAAAAAGCGATAATAACATCCGATTAAAAACCAATATTCGAGACGAAAGTAACAACATCACTGCCGGAAGTTTTGCAAACTTTGTGTTTGGAAAATGTGTTGAAAGGAGCACAATTGCGCGAAGCAAAAAATGGGCCCCATTTTTAATAACTAATCTAAAATATTCTCCACTGTATTAAAAAAAACAAAAACAACAAATAAAATAAAAAAATTCTGAAAAAAATCATTTATAAAATTCACACCACTTAGATCTTTCTGGGCCACCCTGTAGATAAACGGACATAGGCGGAGGGTATGCATCTGTCGGCAAAACCGAATAATACTTTTTCACTTGTTTACGTTTCTATGTTTCTTGTAGCTGGCAATTGTTCTGTTTGGCAATTGGACACACATGCCCTCAGCTACTGTTTTTTTATATTGTCAAACTCTTCTTATTTCATTATTTGTTTGCTACGCGTTCTATGGAGGTTAACTGTAACCTCGTATATTTACTCGCTAATTTAAGTGAATAGTGAGAGCCAAAAACTAAACTAAACACCACTCAAATGTAAACAACAAAACGAAGGGAGAGAACTTAAAGCAATGCAAAATATTACAAATACAACAAAAAGTAAAAGTTGTTGGTATTTATTTTGTTTTTGTATTTCGTATAGCACCACATTACAACTCTCTCTATCTCTCTTGAAATTGCAACCATTACAAGATGAGAGCAATGCCCATGACATTAAATGTGGGTTGCCATCCATCATTCAGATTCCTTGTAATGCGTTCAAATATTCGGGCATTGACTTTAACAGAAACGATGTTTTTTTGGAATTTAGTCATTGAACTCGTTAAGTTCAACTTGGAACAAATAAATAATTATTATACCCTACACCACATAGTGGTAAGGGTATTATGTCTTTGTGCATTTGTTTGTAACATGGAGAAGGAAACGAGATAGACCCATAGTTACTTTTGAGAACCTTCATAGAATCACTTTCTGAGTCGATTTATGCATGTCAGTCCGTCTGTCCGTCCGTCCGTCTGTCCATGTATTCTTGTGAACAAAATGCAGGTCGCATTTATTATCCGATTGAGATGAAATTTTCCAAACAATATTTTTTTGGCCCAAGGACGAACCCTATTGAAATTGGTGAGAATCGGATCAAATTTAGATATAGCTCCCATATATATCTTCATCCGATTTCGGTTTAAATGTGCACCAAATATTCACTATCAGTCCAAATTACCTGAATTTTGGCACACCCAACCGAGTTCGGCCTAGAAACAAGTATATCAAATTTGGAGAAAATCGGTTCAGATATAGCTATAGCTCCCATATATATCTTTCATCCGATTTGGTGTTTAAGCCTCTCACATTCGTAATATGCACTCCACAAGAATGATATTTGGTACCAGGTATTAGATACAGCCCAGAAATAGCTGTTTGTAATTTTATCGAAATCGGTTCAGATTTGGATATAGCTCCCATATATATCTTCATCCGATTTCGGGTTAATTGTGCACCAAATGGCCGATATAAGTCCAAATGGACTGAATTTTAGTACATCGGACCAAATTCAGCCTAGAAGCAAGTATATCAAATTTGGTGAAAATCGGTTCAGATATAGATATAGCAACCATATAAATGTTTCATCCGATTTAGAGTTGTAGTCCCATACATTCGTAATATTCACTCCACAACCGTGATATTTGGTACCAGGTATTAGATGGAGCACAGGAATAGCTGTTTTAAATTTTATCGAAATCGGTTCAGATTTGGATATAGCTCTCATATATATCTTCATCCGATTTCGGGTTAAATGTGCACTAAATGGTCAATATCAGCCCAAATCACCAGTCTAGAAGCTAATACGTAAAATTTGGAGAAACCCGGTTCAGAGATAGCTATAGTTCATAAAATGCACGATAGAATTAGATAGATTTTGATTTTGTACCAAATATCTCATAGAGCTCTGAAATGCCCTGTATAAACCTTTTTACGAGAGCTCTACTAAATATGCATAGTGGTGTAGGGTATCATATAGTCGGCCCCGCCCGACTTTTGACTTTTTTCCTCTTTAAAAAGCTAAATTAAAAAACATAGTAAAAATCCCCGAAATGTCAATATTTAAGGAGTTATGCCCATTTTAAAATATTCTATTCTTCTTTTTTCAATATCTAAATATAAAAACATGCTAATGAGTGAGTTATGACCATTTTAAAATTCCCTATTTTCCACTTTCAATATCTGAATGAAAAAAAAACATGATAAAAACCCCGAAATTTCAATATTTAAGTTATGTCCATTTTAAAATACCCTTTTTTCCTCTTTTTTATATCGAACATATTTTATACCTTTTCCATGATATTAAAATTAATAAGTGTTTTTCTCTTCAATTTCAGATTTTCTAAGGTAAGTTTAAAACAACTTAAAATTGTTTTTTTTATTTTATTTTTTGTTTTCTTTGCTTAGAACAATACGATACAGATCTTCACAGTTTTCATTTTCCAATTTATTTATAAGGGCATTGAAATTGTTGTGCAAATCATTACAATCTGAAAATAGAGAACAGATAAATGTTGATTATAGTTATAACTTACAACAATATTTGAAGACTTTCGTATAGCTGATCGAATTTGCTAAAAAATATACCCTCAATTAACTATGCTAACTTATATATTTATACCCTCAGTCATATGGCTAGAGAGGAGGGTATATATCATTTGATACGGCAAAAACGTGCCTCATCAAAATAACGGCTTTGGACCCTTCTGGTACCTCCCACACAAAAAGTCGAAATTTTCAAAAAAAAAAAAAAATGTCTTACTGCACGGAAAGAGAAATGATAATCCGATTTTGCTAAAACTCTGCAAATCTTAATATTTGAATCAGTGCTAGTTCAGGTGCGAAAATGGACAGTGTAGGTCCACTCTATCTATCAAGCTCATAAAACGCGAATTCCATTGAGACTTGTTACATTTTAATATTTCCATCAACACCAGATCTGTTATAAAGATGGTAGAGATCGGACCATTTCTTCTGATATCTCCCTCACAAAGGATCAAAGCTTTGAAAAATCGAAACGATTATAAAATTCGAAAAAAGCATCCTGTTCTCCTTATATTTCATACATCCCATTATTTCTACTACCACAAGATCTGCTGTGAAGATGGAATATATCGGTCCACTCCTTCTGGTACCTCCCGCACAAAGGGTCAAAGTTTGAAACAATTATAACTGTGGTAATGTGTGAAATATGAGTCCGAAGGCCGTCCAATTACGCACATCTCAATATTTCCACTGAAACAATATCTGGTAAAAAGAACCGATATAACGGACCATTAATTCTCGTACCTCCCCCACAACGGGTCAAAATTTTGAATAACCATAAAGCTAATAAAATCCGTATTAAGCATCCGCTTTCTTTTAAACTCGCCACATGGCAATATTTTTAGCAACACGAGATCTGTTATAAATTTGATAGAGATCGGACCATTTCTTCTGGTACCTCCCTCACAAAGGGTCAATGTTTTAAATAATCAAAACGATTATAAAATCCGAAATAAGCATCCGGCTCTCTTCATATTTCACACCTCCCATTACTTCTACTAACACAACATCTGCTGTGAAAATGGGATCCATATCTTCTGGTCCTTCCCCCACAACGGGACAAAATTTGGAATATCTATGAAACAAAAACAAACCTAAAACGCGAAATTAACATCCGATTCCATTCAGACTTGGTACATCTCAATATTTCCATCAGAGCACGATCTGTTATAATGATGGTAAAGATCGGACCATTCCTTCTGGTACCTCCCCCACATAGGGTTCAAGATTTTGAATAACCGAAACGTTCAAAGGAAGCGAAATAAGCATCCAACTCTCGTCAAACATTTAAGCTAATACAAGATCTGTTGCGAAGATGATATGTGTCTGGAAACCCCTTCTGGTACCTCACCTACAAAGGGTCACAATTCAAATACTTTTATCTGTCATAACTTGCGAAACAAGTCAGCTATTCTTTACAACTTGCTACATCTAAATATTCCTCTCAACCAGGAACCTAAGATGAATGTGGAATTTATCGGAATTTATGATTTCGCATTGAAGTGGATATAAATATTCGATTTTCTTGTAATTTTGCCCATACCATTATTTTTATCTGTATTGGATGTGGTATGAGAATGGAATATTTCGGTCGACTATATCTAGGGTACCTCAGGCACGTTTCAAAGTTTTCTAAAAATGTTTACATAGCTCATATTAAGTGAAGGAAGTAGCCGCTATAGTCTAAACCTGACACGTGGCAATATTTAAATCGTATTAATTTAGGAGTCATAACAGGAGTCTAAATATATTTAAATAATCGAACATTGTCCGAAGGTATACATATGTCTGGAAAACTGACCGATACTTTTTAGCTTGCCACTCACCTATTGTATAACCAAAAATATCGAGCTTCTTCAAATCATCAGGAAAGAGGGGGTTTTCAATTAGTCTCTTCAAGAATTGCGAATATTCAAAGTCTTCAAATGTAAAGGTACAGCTAAGTATGGTCATTTTCGAATTCTTTGCAAAGAAGTCCAACCAAAAATCTAAATGCCCATTAAATATATCCAGGGGTATGGATAACTCGGAAATATTGCCCTGGAATAGTGCTGCCACTGATGGAACCGCCACGCAAGTGGCTTCACTGTATTCTCCACAATGCATTACCGTTAAATCTTCTAAGCTGGAATGTTGGAGGAGTTCTGTGATGTGGCCAAAACTCGTCATGTGATGGGGTATAGTTAATTTCTGCAGCTGTGGAAGATTCCCATAAGTCTCTGCTGCGGGAATTGGTTTCTCTGAAAGTTGACAATTCTGCTTTTCGTGATGCCACATCAGCTCCTTGATGTGATTGTTGTGCAACAAGTTAGACAATTCTTGCAGTTGCCACAGGTATTTGCAGTCCACTTCCAGACTTTGAAGTCCAGGCGAAATTTGAAAGTTATCTACCTCTTCATCCTGGTATTCAGTGGATTTTGAAATAAATTTCGTAAGTTTGGGGTGATATTGCAGAATTTCTTGTAGATTGCCAAAATTGAGTCCCCCACAATGGAGAAGGGCCAATTCTTTTAAATTTTTCGGCCAGCTAATCACTGATAGTGTCGTGTAGAATGTGGAATTAGTTATTTGAAGAATTTGCAATTTTTTGCATTTCTCCTCTAGTGTCTGGAGTATTTGTTGGGTTATGGTTTCCAAAACTTCTATTCTGAGAGTGGTGAGTTTTTCAAAATTTCTCAGAAATTTTGAAAAAATTTCCAACCATTTTTCCCGCGCCAAAGAAGTTTTGAGCGAAAGCTCAGCCAACTGTGCAGTTGTATTTTGACCCCTCATTGACAATTCATTGTCAGTTGAACTTTCGCCAATAATTCGATCGTTCAAATGCAAAGCCTGCAAAGGCAAGTTCCCCAACAATTCCTGCCATTTAGGATATTCAATTGTTAGGGAATAGAAGTCGTAACTGTGTAACGATATTTTCTTTAAATGTGGAAATTTTTGTAAAATTTCCAGCTTGATATCGACGGCGAGCTGTACTGGTGCTCCTTGGCCGTTGGAACAATTCTCCAAGTTAAGGGTCTCCAGTTGGCCACAACAATTGCTTAGCATATCCAACCACTCGGATGTAAAACTCATGCCATTCAATTCAAGTTTCCTGAGGTTGGGGAACTTGGCCATCTCCAGATGATTTTCAACCGCTTCATTGCTAAAAATTTCCATCAATAAATAGCAACTGATGATCTTCAATTCAACCACCTCACAACCATGAGTGTTGATTAGCTCCCGAAATTCCTGAGGTCTCAAACAACGACGATTCAGACCCCGGTCATCGGCTATAACATAATTGAATTTTTCATGATAAATCACAGTCAATATTTCATATTTCTCCATTGCCTTGATCAGGAATTTGAAAATGTAGTTCTCAGCTGCTGGCTGCTGGTTTTTGTATCAACACCTATTGTTATTTCACAATCTATGGCAATTCCGTGGCTTGTTTATGTTCTTCTTCTTTCTCAAAACACGCAAAAAAAATAAACACAAACTTTATCACTCAGCCCAATGGAACGAATACCCACACACCTTGCTGGCGATAGCACGACTGGCGGAAATTACTCTTGAAATCCCCATGTCTTTGCTAATTTTTGATTGGATTCCTAACTGCGTTATCAGTGAGGTACATGTAGCGTTTTTTATTTATTTTTTTTATTTTTTTGGTGCCATGTTGATACGTTTTGTCCAGATAACGAACGCCATTCGCTGCTAATGGACATTTCTAATTCTCATTCGAAGTTGTTTCGAGTTCTCTGAAAGATGCCGAAATAATTTTTTTTTTGTAAAATCGATTTGAAAATATGGTCATGCACCTCGAAACATATTATAGGGCTACTTTTCAATAGCTATACGAAAGTTTATAGAAAACACACACCATTCAAAAAAATTGCATGAAAATCTTATTTGATTTCCTGAGGATTAGGGTTAATGTTTCCAGATTACACTGTGCGACAAACTTCAAATTTTCAATAATAAAAGAGAAAAATCCACAGCAGATTATGAAGATAGATGTAACAAGTTAAAAAGTATTAGTAGGTTTTTCTCGCTTCATTTCCAGCGCACAATGGCCACCGGATACCAATCCGTTGGACTATTGTGTCTGGAATATTTTGGAAAGCAAGGTTGGCACTAAAAAAATACCGGGAATGGGTCAAAATACCACAGAGCAACGTTCGGGCAGCATGTTTGAAGGCTATAATTCTTGCTAAAGGTGACCAATTCGATCAAATCTAAACTTATTCTGAAATTTAATTCTATTTCCGACATTTTTTGCTTTCATTCAATAAAATTAAAAAAAAATGTTAAATTTATGGCCTTTGACTTTGTTCCAGTTTTTTTTTATCTCATCCTGTAGGGTATAAATTTTGGTATGGGCAAAATTACAAGGAAATTGAACATTTATATCCTATTTTATGCGAAAACATATATTCCGTATACATCACAGATTTCTGGTTGAGATAAATATTTATAGATAGCAAGTTATACAGAATCGCTGATTTTATTCGCAAGTTATGACAGATGATTGAACATTTGAAGAGAGTTGGATGCTTATTTCGTTTTCTTTGACCGTTTTGTTTTTCAAAATCTTGAACTCTATGTGGGGGAGGTACCAGATTGAATGTTCCGATCTCCACCATCTACACAACAGACATTGTGCTAATGGGAACGTTGTGATGTGCAACGTCTGGATATTCTTGGATATTCAAAATTTCGACCCTTTGTGAGTAGGTACCAGAAGGAGTGGACCGATATATTCCATATGCATAGCAGATCTTGTGTTAGTAGAAATAATGGTATGTGTTAAATATGAATCGAATGCTTTTTTCGGATTTTATGATCGTTTTGATTATTCAAAACTTTGACCCTTTAGGGGGGGAGGTACCAGAAGGAGTGGACCGATATCTTCCATCTTAACACCAGGCCATGGGTTAATAAAAATATTGTGATGTGTGCATTTTGAAGACAATCGCACTCTTACACTCTTACTCGAGAGTTATCGGGCGCATCAGCCAGTCAGCCAGAGAGACAGACATAAGTACGGACGGACATCGCTTCATCGAATCCAAATTTCCTGAAACGGATTAGGTCCAAAAAGAGCTATCGTTATTTCGATGAGGCACGTTTTGGCCGTATCGAATGAAAAAGAGGGTATTTGGATGAGGGTAAAAAAATAAAAATACATTTAAAAGTTTTAAAGTTTGCGCAAAATTCTCCTACAAAACGTCATATTAGAAGGATGACTTCAAAGACAAAAAATATTCTGCAACAAATTTCAATATATGCTATCCAAGAAAAGAAAACTCTATTTCCATTGTACTTAATTTTTAATTTTTTATAGATTATTTATTTACGTCTTTTTCAAGTTACTGTAGGAAAGAAACATAAAATCAAATTTTAGACAGATAATGTCAAAAGAAGAAATATTCTATTCAAAATTTAACTATGGGTCTCAGAATAAACTACATATCTTGGTTTAATAGTTTTCAGTAAAATTATATTCAAAATTTATATAATGGGCAATTATGTTTTTACGGTTAATTTAATACGTTTTCATTCTGAGTCAAAATCGTCCTTCATACTTCCCGTTTTTGGGGAAAGTGTCAAAGGATGAAACATTCTACAGCAAATTTCATTCTGAGTTTCTAAACAAAAGAAATTTGTAAATTCAATGGGTACTGTAAAAAATATCACAAATTTTGGGCTTTCGACCAATTTGGCGCCCATTTTTCAAATTTGCTGTAAAATGTTCTTATAATATCACTTTCCAATATCCAGTCTGAATTATAGAAACTTCCAAGTGAATTTGATAGTACTCGCTTTGCAGATCAAAAGAGTTTGTTGCACCAAACCTATTTAAGATCTTTATAAATCCGTGAGCCTTGACCAAAGAGACCCCAATATTATGGAATTTATAAATTGATCACTTTTTCGTATAGTACCCATATTAAGATGAACTCCAATTATTAGTAGCAAACAAGTAAAAAAGTTATAAGTTCGGTCGAGTCGACCTTTGAATACCCTCCACCATTCGGAACAAAATATGGCAATTAAAAAAAAAAAATGAAAATTCAGTTAAAATCTTAAAACTACTGAATGTAGCCGTTATATTAGGGTCTATACGACGACGTGGACCTGCATAGGCAACTTTTGTCATAAGCCATTACAATATTCAAATTCGAAACATTAAAATACCGAATATAGGGATGTACGATTATATGGGGGCTATACCAAAACGTGGACCTGCACGGACAATTTTCTGTCATAAGCTGTAGTATCCCTTACAAACTTCAAATACCAAATTCGAAACAATTCCGGTGAATAATGTAGCTAAAATTATCAAAATATCGAATATCGGGAGGTACCGTTTTATGGGGGTCTATACAAAAGCGTGGACCAACATGACCCATTTTTATCAACCTACTTCATTTTGTTCGGACAGACGGATAGACGGGCAGGCGAACCGACGTCGCTAAATAGACATAGAATTTTATGCTGATCAAGAATATATATACTAAAATGTATATTTCGAGGTGTTACAAAGGGAATGGCAAACTGAATATACCCTCCATACTATGGTGGAGGGTATAAAAATATAATTTTCTTCCTTTTGTGACTTATGGTGAAATATGAGGAAGAATATTTTCGTCCTTGGCATTATCCGTCTAAAACGATGCTTTGTTGGGGAATTTTGCATAAGCTCAAATAGCGTTCGTCTTTAACTCTAAAAGTGAGTTTTTAGTATTTATGAATTCCTTCCAGTTAGAAAAGTTTTAGAGTTATGATTTCTTCTGACAATTAATAGAATATTTTGTAGTGTTTTAAAAATATTTTGAAAATAAAGACCAAAAATACCACTTTGGTGTCTCGTTTGAGGTTGAATATTTTTTACCAAAATAGTCAGCTATTCACAAATAATGTTTAAAGTATCTAATGGAATTTCAAGAAAATACAATACACATCAGGATATGTATGTAAAAAAAAAAAACATCAGACAGAGAATTCGAATAAAAAGCCATGAAGAGTAAAACGGCCCTTACAGTATATCTACAAAGCAAAAGCAAAAATATTCCTTAAAATGAATGAATGCCTTGGAAAAATACGAAATTTAAATGGAGGATAAAGGAGCGCCTCTACGTCCAATGATATAATATCCTATGTGAGTGTGTGTGTGTGCGTGTAAATGTATACATGTACATAATGAAGTAAAATTACAAGGACTCCCATACACCCCACTCCCCCGAACATAATGGCATGACAACAATTTTTGTGCACGTGCAAAGTTAAAACAGTGGCGTAGCCCCCAAAATTCTTTGCAAAGTTATGCCTCTTGGTGAGATGAAGCTACGTCAGTGAAATGCTTGTTGGCGCCGCAAGACATATATTGTTGGTATATTTTTAGCAAGAAATTCCTAAGACGACTAACGAACAACCCCCCCACAAGTGGTGGATGAGTTGTTTGCGTGATGCTGATCAAGAATATATATACTAAAATGTATATTTCGAGGTGTTACAAAGGGAATGGCAAACTGAATATACCCTCCATACTATGGTGGAGGGTATAAAAATATAATTTTCTTCCTTTTGTGACTTATGGTGAAATATGAGGAAGAATATTTTCGTCCTTGGCATTATCCGTCTAAAACGATGCTTTGTTGGGGAATTTTGCATAAGCTCAAATAGCGTTCGTCTTTAACTCTAAAAGTGAGTTTTTAGTATTTATGAATTCCTTCCAGTTAGAAAAGTTTTAGAGTTATGATTTCTTCTGACAATTAATAGAATATTTTGTAGTGTTTTAAAAATATTTTGAAAATAAAGACCAAAAATACCACTTTGGTGTCTCGCTTGAGTTTCAATATTTTTTACCAAAATAGTCAGCTATTCACAAATAATGTTTAAAGTATCTAATGGAATTTCAAGAAAATACAATACATCAGGATATGTATGTAAAAAAAAACATCAGACAGAGAATTCGAATAAAAAGCCATGAAGAGTAAAACGGCCCTTACAGTATATCTACAAAGCAAAAGCAAAAATATTCCTTAAAATGAATGAATGCCTTGGAAAAATACGAAATTTAAATGGAGGATAAAGGAGCGCCTCTACGTCCAATGATATAATATCCTATGTGAGTGTTTGTGCGTGTAAATATATACATGCACATAATGAAGTAAAAGTACAAGGACTCCCATACCCCACCCCCAAACATAATGGCATGCCAACAATTTTTGTGCACGTGCAAAGTTAAAACAGTGGCGTAGCCCCCAAAATACGTTGCAAAGTTCTGCCTCTTGGTGAGATGAAGCTACGTCAGTGAAATGCATGTTGGCGCCGCAAGACATATATTTTTGTATATTTTTAGCAAGAAATTCCTAAGACGACAAACGAACAACCCCCCACAAGTGGTGGATGGGTTCTTTGCGCGAGGGTATACAGAATTCGTAGAGGGTTGCCAAATGCCTAGAATTTTCTATGAAAAAACACTGAGCAACATTAAAGAAGAAAAACTAAGTAGATTGTTAAAGTAG